ATATTTGCCATCGTTTTGATATTCAGGGACATTTGCATTCTTGCTCGAATCTTAAACATGAAAACAATAACACGCACAGAGTGTGTCTGTATCAAAGAGTTTAAATCAATCTCAATGTACAGTGCGTGTCAATATTTGCTCTTCATGCTATTAAGTGAAGATCTACTTTAAAGATACATTGAACAGCAGCGCGATTTGCTAAAGCAGCATATTCAGCGGGCATCCTATCATACGCACGCTGCTTGTGTGGATGCAGTCTGTTTTGACCGCAAAAAATTAGGTAAGCTCATTGGATATCATGTATTTGACCATTTACGGTACCCACATTTTCCTGTTTTTACAGTAGAAGCGGCATTTTGCTTATCAGAAATACGTTCGGTTTTAATGTTGCTTTAAGTTGGGGTATTAAATGAATGCCAAAACTCAGAATTTTGTCCGGGTACCCTCCCATCTCACGTACCCCAGTTTGAGAACCACTACTCTACATTAATGATGATGCCAGGGTAGTGGTCATCATCATATTTCACCATACACCACCTGCCATCATGGTCGTTGGTAATGAACTCGCCATGAGGTTGTTGGAACCTTTGATTTTAAATTCAATCCCACATCAGCATGAAGGGTTGCCTCCATGAGACTAAGGCCCAATCCCAATTCTACCCCTTAGCCCTTCCCCTTCCGTTTCGCGCGTTCACGTGAAGGGGTAGGGGTGTCTCAATTCTCTTTTGGTTGGAGGGGTAGGGGTAAGGGGAAGGGCCAGACAGCCCTTCAAACGAAGATTTTTCGGGACCACACTTCAAATGAAGGGGTATGAATTATTTCAGCGTAAACCGGCTTCAGGGGCAACATGGCTGCCCGAGAGAACAAAAAGACACATAAATGTAAGCATTTTTGGCATTAATAAAGATTTTAACGAAAAGTAGCCATTTGTTTTATGTTGCATTCAATCGTGAGTTCATATTTACGATCATGTTACTCAAAGAAATGTTTGCAAAAAATCGCTAATATTTGCTAACTAATGTCATGTCATTATAGACTGCACGATAGTGCCACAGCATATGTTCATGTCTGATCAGGGCGATAGCCACCGTAGACATTGAGGGGGGCTAGTCCCCCCAATAATTA